GGAGAACTTTATTTGGGTTTGAGGAGCCGTTTGTCCAAGTGCTGCGCCTTATTAATAGCCCTTTGTTCTTGTTGCTAACAGTCATACAGGGATTTTTGAGTGGGATACTCATTTTCTTCCAAGTTCTATCAGTGAAGTAATCATTTTTGGCTTAAGACCAGCTGCCATTTGCTTGCTTTATGAAAATATAACACCCGCATCCTACTGAAAGCTGTTTTCTTTTAGGCAAAGGCTTCAGTCTCAGCTGGATTTCAGTATCTGCCACAAATGCAGGGATTTTGGTCTTTAAAGAAGAGAGATAATGTTATAACATTTTGATTACCCTTTCTGCTCCTATCATTCACAAACCATCTTTTCTAATTACGGCATTAGGACATTTACATAAGAGGGGGAAAGGGGTCCTTTAACTACATTTCTATTATGCTTGGCACTTGCGTGAAAGGATATTATATTCATGTGCATTAGAGATTGGTTATAAAAAGATCAAGACAATAACAGCAGATCAGACGATAAAGGTTCCCTTTTCTCCTCCCAGACAGGCTGTCTCTGACTGAAGAATACAGTTCATCAAAAGTGTCTGCAGGTTGTCAAACTCAGTGAGATTTGGGGACACTCGGAGGCTGTCATGACCAACAAGAAGAATTTTCTGTAGGGTTTTGCCATCACTCATCCTTAGGAAATAATCACTCACTACATTCTGCATGCTCTCATGATAGAACTCTATTGGAGAGAAAAGAGCCGTTTTATCAAAGGACAATATATCCCTTCTCTTGGACCACGCAGCTTCCATTATCAGGCCATAATAAATCATATTTATGTTCTCCGTTAATAAGACTGATTACGAAGCAGGTTATGAAAAAGACATGGGGTGGGGGGACCAAAGCAGGTGAAAAGATGTTTTAATGAAAATATGATAAGGAAGCCACTTCTTCGGGAACATTTCATGTTATTATTTGTAATGATCACAGACAATTTTTGATGCCTCTTATTTAGCAGTGGATTAAACTGCATAAACTGGCCCACTGGTTAATACATTGAAATAGAGAGGGATGGGCTGGTTGGATAAGGGGGAGGAAATCATAACATCCTTCTTATGTCCGGAATCATTACATACATTATAAGCATAAAATGAGTTTAATGTATGTGCTTTGAAATGAAGAAGAAAACAGAAAAACCAGGGAAGGCTGATTTTAATGTTCAAAATTATTCCAAAAATCCCCACCAACCTAATTCATCTTTGTTACTGGCGGTGCATTTTCCATGAAATTTAGGAATGTCATGTACTGCTTTCATCTGCTTCAAATTAATATACTGTACTGCTCTTCTTGCCTTTCTCACTTTCTTCAAAGTTTTCCTTGCAGTACAGTACAAAGAGACAAAGAAAGATGGATTCTGCACTCCGTATGTGAGCGTTGCTGTTATTAATGCTAATGGAAGTTAAGTGTATCCTGCAAGAAGAGACTGTACTCCAGTGTTTAATATTGAAAGGGGACTTTTTTTTTAAAAAAACTGATATTTTTAGCTCCAACAAAGTCAACGAATTAAAGTACCAGCTTCCCTGAAATTATGGCATGACTGACAAAAACAAATTAGATAACATTTTGAAATGCCATAGGCTCCAAACGATGGCCGTCTGGCCCAGACGAGATGGAATAGAGTGACCTTCACTTCTGCCCACTGGGAAGTGCTAGTTGTGGTGGGCTACTGCTCCTGAAGAAATGGCTGGGCTCCAAAGAAAAGAGCTACTTAGGCACAGCCAGGGCCTTAGACACACCCAGAAGGATTTAACTCTTTCCCCCTTGAATTACAAACCCAAACCATGCCACATTGCAACAATACTTCCTCAATCTCCCAGTATGACAAGGATTGAGGACTAGGCTGGAGCCAATCTGAGGCTTCTTCTGGGGAGTAAGTAACCACAAGGTTTTATCTTCAAGGTTCCGTGTCCAGATTACTAAACTATAAAGTTAAGAAATAAAACCAAATTAGCAGATGCCAATGACAGTTAGTCCTCAATATAGAACAGATGTAAGATATTTTTTAAATTGCCTTTCAGTTTCAGGCTTTATAACATGACACAGGGGCTGCTGTTGAAGAAATGCAGGTCTAAACCTTTGTCCATGCATATGACTATTTTTGTTGCTGCTGTTGTTTAGTTGTTTAGTCGTGTCTGACTCTTCGTGACCCCATGGACCAGAGCACGCCAGGCCCTCCTGTCTTCCACTGCCTCCTAGAGTTTGGTCAAATTCAAGTTGGTAGCTTTGATGACACTGTCCAACCATCTTGTCCTTTGTCGTCCCCTTCTCTTGCCTTCACACTTTCCCAACATCAGGGTCTTTTCCAAGGAGATTTCTCTTCTCACGAGAAGGCCAAAGTATTGGAGTCTCAGCTTCAGGATCTGTCCTTCCAGTGAGCACTCAGGGTTGATTTCCTTCAGAATTGATACATTTGATCTCCTTGCAGTCCAAGGGACTTTCAAGAGTCTCCTCCAGCACCACAATTCAAAAGCATCAATTCTTCGGTGGTCAGCCTTCTTTATGGTCCAGCTCTCGCTTCGATACAGCGCTACTGGAAAAACCATAACTTTGACTATGCGAACCTTTGTTGGCAAAGTGATATCTCTGCTTTTTAAGATGCTGTCTAGGTTTGTCTAGCTTTCCTACCAAGAAGCAGGTGTATTTTAATTTCATGGCTGTTGTCATCATCTGCCGTGATCATGGAGCCCAAAAAAGTAAAATCTGTCACTGCCTCCATATCTTCCCCTTCTATTTGCCAGGAGGTGATGGGACCAGTGGCCATGATCTTAGCTTTTTTGATGAGGTTCTTTAATTCCTCCTCACTTTCTCCCTCTTTCATCCTCATTAAGAGGTTCTTTAATTCCTCCTCACTTTCTGCCATCAGAAAAAAGCAAAAGCAAAGTGTGCTGCTTATATACTGCCCCATAGTGCTTCAAGCACTCTCTGGGCGGTTTACAAGTTAATTATGCAGGCTACACATTGCCCGCCCCCCCGCAAGTTGGGTACTCATTTTACCGACCTTGGAAAGATAGAAGGCTGAGTCAACCTTGAGCCGGCTACCTGGGATTGAACCCCAGGTTGTGAGCACAGTTTTGGCTGCAGTACGGCGGTTTAACCACTGCGCCACGAGGCATCATCTGCATATCTGAGGTTGTTAATATTTGTTCTGGCAATCTTAATTCTGGCTTGGGATTCCTCCAGTCTAGCCTTTCACATGATGTATTCTGCATATAACTTAAATAAGCAGGGAGACAATATATAGCCTTGTACTCCTTTCCCAATTTTGAACCAATCACTTGTTCCATATCCAGTTCTAACTGTTACTTCCTATCCCACATATAGATTTCTCAGGAGATAGATAAGGTGATCAGGCACTCCCATTTCTTTAAGGACTTGCCATAGTTCGCTGTGGTCCACACAGTCAAAGGCTTTTGCGTAGTCATATGACTATTTACTGAGTCCTTAGAATTGTAATTTGAAGAAACTGAAGACAGAAATTTGTCACATTCGTTTTTGGTACCTGGCCAAACTAGAGATTTATTACTGGATTGCTTGCAAGTGCTATGACAGAAAAACTGTATGTGTTTTTATGCAGAAAAAGTTTAGGGTTAAGTTGTTAGCTGAGTATCTAGTAACAGAGCCAGATACCACCACAGAAACAATACTAAAAAAATAATTAATGAGCAACGTCTCTGGCTTCCACTTTATACAAGAAGCTTCTTTTAGAAAGTAAGGACTCTTTATCAGGACTGTTTGTCAGTGTAGGAAGAACAAGCAAGGCCTGGGGCCTCTAAGTGCAGCTACCATCATAATCAACCACAAAACCAACAAGGGGTGCTTGCTGTCTTTTGAAGGCACATGGACGCTCCTACAGACATAAACACAGACATAAACATATGACAGCTGTTGTGGTGTAATGGATAGGATGTTGGACTAAGATTCAGAACACCTAGTTTCAAATCCCTGTTCAGCCATGGACGGTTGCTGGAGGGTTGGCAATGCTTAAACCAGTCCTTATACATCTCACATGTTGTGAAAATGCTATCAGGATTGCTGCTAAGTCAGGAGCAACTTGATAGCACATAACACACACGGTATTGCCCACATTTTACCACACCAAACAGAATGCAGAGTATCTTTTTCATGAATATTCATCAGGGGTTGGCCATCCTTTCCTTTTCTCTGTGTGCATTGTCCTTGTGGCATAATGGTTAAACGTCAGTACTGCAGTCAAGCCTCTGCTCCCAACCTAAGTTCAATGTGCTACTTATATACCACCCCTGGGCTCAGAAAGCATTCTCAAGGTTACTCAGCCCTCTGTCCTTCTGAGGTTGGTAAATGGAATACCCAACTTGCTGGGGTGGGATGGGGGCAATGTGTAGCCTGCATAATTAAAATGGTAATACTCCCAGAGAGTGCTTTAAGCTCTATGGGGTGGTATACAAGCAGCACATTTTGCTTTTTTTTGCTTTGCTTTAGGTTACTGTGCTTAGTATCAGAGGTACTACTAAAGGAGGATGGTGTGGCAGAAATTCAAGGCCTTGGAGCTGGGAAAACACTCATAAGCAGTTCCTCTTCCCAATCTTTGTTGTTGTTGCTGCTGCTGCTGCTGCTGTTAAAGAACTTTGAGAAGAGGTTGCCACTCCAGAGCAGAGGAGGAGCAAAGAAAAGAAGGAGCGCCTGGTAAAGGTTGTTAGAGAAAGTGGAAAAAGGTCTGTGAGAGCAAGAATGTCGCTTGATGGCAAGGGTGGCCCAATCTGTCCTGCTGCTTGTGATGGGAAGCAAGGTGTTGCCCCTGATTGTGATGTATTAGAGAAAGATAAATTCCACCCTCTGGAGAAGGAGGTAATGGTGACGGAACCTGTTTCCCCTTTCGTACCACCCACCAAAAATGGAGGATACTACAGTAGCATCATCAGCAGCAGGTAGTTATCCTTCCATCCCCACCAAAATAGGCAACTCAGTGGTGCCTACCCCACTAACCTCAATGTAAACAAGGAGGAGACCTCAGTATTCCGGTCATCATGAGAGAGCAGCTTGAGGGTAGCCATCTCTGCAGTCATTTATTTCCATGCCAGGAGATCCAGCCTTGGGTGGTAGCAGATATGTTGCAGCAGCAGCCATCATGGCAGCCCCTGCCTCTTCTCCCTCTTTGTCTCCCACTTCATTCTTTTACTGAGGGAAAGGAAGAATGGTTCCCTGTGGTGGCACAGTCTCCTTTCCACTGAGACAAATTCTAGGCTCTGGGGAGATAGAGTGGTTCTCAGAGCAGTAATAGCCCTGCCAACATGGGGTAGAGAGGGGTAATGAATTTGCTGCCCCCACTGGCTCTGCCACCTGCGTTAACCATTTTGCTCAGTACAGTACAATGTTAGGGCTGGTCCTGGGAGCGTTTAGCCCCCCCCCCAAAAGTGGGCAGCTTTTTCCAGTATAATTTGAGAGATCTGCTACTTTCAACTTACTAAGATATAATGCAGTTTCATCACCTATTTGTGGTTAAGAGATGAGAGGTGCCTTCAAAGTGCTTCTTCCTTCCTCTTTTCACACACAAAATTATCCTTTTAATTCCTCTGGGGTTTATCCCTGTGTTGTATCTGCACAACACCATAGCTTGCAAGTACAGCTAGAAATGCCTTTACAAATGGCAACCTGTAACTACTGAACATGCTAGCACTGACATAGCATTAGTCATGGTGAGTTGTGAGAAAGATTAGGCATCCTTCAGTCTCAAGAGACTATGGTAACGTGCTCAGAACAAACTGGAATTTTTAGCATGTATACATTACTGAAACAGCCCATGGTTAGTTGTGAGAAAAGGAATGAGACAAGCCTGCAAAGTTCAGAAACCCTTGGGTATTGTCATTTTGCTACTCTCAGTTAGGAAATGGGACAGCATTACATCTGAACTGGCCCCAGCAAAGGAGCAGACCTAAATGAAAGTTTAAAGGTATCAACCATCCAGAAATAATAGTCTGTGTTTTTAAATACCGAAGTCAACATTAGAGAAAGGGACAAACCGGACTGTACAGTTATCATGTTGTTGGGGCTGCAAGCTAAATTATTTTGCTTTGTTTTGAGATTGTTCTCTGGGCAGTCACTCTAATGAACTGTTTCACTGGAGGACGAGAGGGGTATGATCTAAATGTGGTCTGAGTGTTGTACAGAATCAACATACTTGCAGGGCCAGCCCTACCATAAGGCAGAGTGAGGCAACTGCTTCATGTAGACTATGTGTACCGTATGGGTTGTCCTGCACCCCATGAGGTAGCTTCAGCACCTTAAGTGCAGGGAGAGATGCTGTCCCATCAGCAGTATGGAAGTAAGATTCAGATCTTAGTCTAGTCAGCTTCTGTGTGTGATAGTAATGGTGATAGACATTTATTTACTTATTTATTTTTACCCCCTCTTTTTCTTTAAAAGGACCTGAGGCAGATCAGTCAGCTTCTGTGTGTCATAGTAATGGTGATAGACATTTATTATTTATTTTTACCCCATCTTTTTCTTTAAAAGGACCTGAGGCAGATTACGTCATTAAAAGACAATACTGTATTAAAGCTAACAACAGTGGATATACAGATACTAAACAGAATCAAATACCATACAAAAAAGTAATGTAGGATATAGTTTAGATTAGAAGAGCCTCTTCCTTAATTTCTAGAATTCTGCAGATCCTTCGGAATGGAAGGCTTGCTGTCAGGATCAAGTCTTTCCCAGTGCACTTTTGCAAATGTCTTTAATGGTGGATGGGCCTTACGAATACAGTCTTCCAGCTCCATAAAACCTGGATCTTTTTGTCACACTTAGGGAACCACTGACTTTATTTTCCTTGTCAGTTTTCACTCGCCTCCGATGCTGTTGTTATGACTGATTGTCATCTTGCCAAGACAGGGCTTGAACACAATCACAAACAAGGAGAAAGAGAGAAAATACTTAAAAGAAATTAACTGCCTAAGAGACCAAGTGTCATGAAGGTAATTTATAAGAGAGGGTAAAGGCTACTTTTGCACAATGTTGCTGCTTGGTTGAAATCTAAGACCTTAAAAGCAGAATAAATAAACATCTTCTCCCATCTGCGTTTTCATGGTTGGTATTTTTTCTTTGAGTCATTCAACGCTGTCAGCATTCTTAGATGCAGGGGTGTGCTTGGCCATGTGTCAATCATAACAATTGATATGTTGGGAAAAAAACTGCTAAAAGGGCAGTATTGCACCATCTTTTTCTTTTGGCCCCAGCTCCATTTTTCCCAGCCTGGTTTGACAAAAAATTACTGCCTTCAAGTGTGTCTAGTAAAGACACCATAGATCTAACATCTTTGAGGCATTTTGTTTGAGCACTACCCAGATTAACCACAAAACGCATTCAATGATGACAAGGACTCTGCTAGATATTTAATGATCAGTGCACTGAAATTGTTTGTGACAAAAGGGCATGAATGCTACTCTAAAGCAGAAACCACAATCTAAGGCAAATTACAGCACCTGAACCACTCCACCAAGACCATAAGCAAAATATGCATTTGCTTTAATGGATCACAGCCTATTAGCATATTTAAAACAGCCACAAACAATGAGCAAAAAGGGGTTTTGGAGGGCATGAACATATAACACATTGTTTGTGTCTTTTGGCAGAGAAAGGTCCCTTTGAACAGTACATATTTCTCTGTTAACAAGGGGAAAAGTTTTCAAAAGTTATATCAGGTGTTTAAATATAAAGACATGGTACAATATCCTATTGAGCTTCCACTGAACTGAAAGTCCTGCCAATAGAGTATCATGGAATCATGTTGGATGCATGAGCACTAGTGGAAGGTGGGGTTCTTTATGGAGATCACCACTTGCTCAATGGCAATGTGGAATGATCCTGCTTTACTTCTTTGGTGGGACACTCTGCTCAGCAAATAGAATACAAGCAAAGGTAGACTAGAAGTAGGAACATGAAAATCTCTTAGTCTTGGTTTTTGTTTTGTTTTTTTTTTGGTCCATTTCTCCATATTCTACCTGCTCTTTCCCCCATCCTTGTTTCATACTGGGTCATTTATTGGGGGTATCACATTCAGATTTGTTTAACAAATGCACGTATTTTGCCTTATATACGCATGTATTTGTGCATTTTACTTAGTTTACACACTCCCCAACTGAATAAAACGTCTTTATTCATATCAGAACATTGCACAAGTTAAAATTATGGATGATACAAAATATAAAATTCTTATAATATTAAAATAATTAGAATAATTTTGACCAGAAGCAGGCTACTTCAGTCATATTATCTCATGCATTTACTAGATCTTCTTTTGTACACGCGGTGGGACATTAATAGCATTCACATAAGTGAAGCATTGATTTAATGTCTCCACATTCACAGAAAAAATGTTCTATATCTAAGTAGCCCAATTTTTACTTGATTATTCTTTGATCATCCTACTCCACTTCAAAGTCTTTTAAGTGACTTTAAGATGGTCCACCCAGAATCTTGTCCTGGTGGGAGACACAATATTTGGTATTCATCCATTCAGCAAGGTGTGTTATTGCACACCTCTCAAGCTTTAAATGTTAAACCAGAAGAAGCTAGGCTAAGCCTATGGAGAGTTAAAACAACACACCTTGGTGAATAAAGCATAATTGGCCTAATAAAGCATAATTTCTTGTGCTCACATCATTTTATTTCTCTGAAATGCTTCAGAAAATTCAAACATGTGAGTTCTTGCAGTAAGTCTGTTTGTTACACTGAATTCAGGTTGATAGAAAAATAATATTTTTGCTAGGACTACTGATTTCTACAACATTACTTTCCAACCAGAACTAGATAGCAAGGAGATGTATGCATTTCTTTAGATGTGGAGCTCATGGATATTGGAATGTGATTAAGTGGAAGTGTAGCAGGGTTTAGAAAAATTACATTTTGAGCTGCAGAACTGTTCCATAGTCTATGATGCATTGAAAGGGGGCTCTACTTCTCCACAAGTGAGAGAAAACCTGCTCTGGGGTGTTCTGTTCTTATTACTTCTCACATTCCAAAGCTGTTTCCTGACTCAGTTCTGACACAATACCAAACCTAATAAATTCCTTCTCAAATTAAGCTTTGGCCATTAAATGCCTTTCATATCTCACAGGTGATCAGGAGAGAAAGTGAAATATGACATGGAACCCAGTAAAAGGTACGTTGTATTTGTCTTCATCTGGCACACCTATACAGACATGAGGATATAACTGTTCTTAACAAACTATATTGGATACTTGAGGTTCAGAGGTCTGATAACAGAGCTTAGAAACACTGTTTTTGGAGTACATCTCCCAGAATCCCTCCTAACTCTTTCAAGACAAGACAGACATCATATCTAATACCTTAATAAAACTGGGAGTGGGGGATATGAAAGAGCGAGCGTGTAGAGTGAAGACTGGAAAATTTTGTGGTGGAAATAGATTCTTAATGCACGTATGCAAAAAATAAGGGATTTTCTTGCTCCCTTCTTGAGAATGTGGGAAGCCATCTTTTATCAGATGGCCAAACTCTTTACCTGTCTTAACTAATCTGGCTGGTGTCTACTCCCCAGAATCTCTGACAGTGGTCCTTGACACCATCCGCTACCTGATCTTTCCACTGGTTTGGATGACTATAACACACTCTGACCCAAACCCTGTTGCTTCATGTAGAAAATTGCACTAGATCAGGTCAATTGAATCAAAGGGAATTTGCTGAGTCGGTTTCTCTACTGATTCAAATAGACCTACTCTAACTGAAAATTAGTTTAGCATAATAAATCTCACTTAGAGTAGTCCCATTTGAATTAAGGGAATATAGAGGAGTTGACTCACCAAATCCCCACTGATTCAGTAGGTCTGCTATACTGCAATTTATTATAGTAAGCAACAGGATTTTGGCCTCTGTGTAGGGCTGCCTTCAATGTTTGTTCACAATGCTGTTGGCCAGAAGATTGTTAACCAAAGGAAATTCAAGTGATCACAGGACTCTCTTATTAGCCGCCTAGAGTAGTCCTGACCTGACCAGATAGGTGGGATATAAATAAAATAAATAATAATAATAATATTAAAACAGCCTCGCTGGCTACTGGTCTGTTTTCAGGTGCAATTTAAAATATGCTGGATATAAAGCTCTACATAATTTAGGTCTGAGCTATCAGAGAGACTATACTCTCCCATACAAGCCTGCCAGGCTTTGAGATCTGTGGGTAGGGCCCTTTGCTCAGTCCTGCCACCTTCAAGGACATGCTTGGTGAGGATGTGGAGCAAGATCTTTGTGGTGGTTGCTTCCAAGCTGTGAAACTCTCTCCCGAGGGACTTTAGACTGTCCCCCTCCTGTTTGGCCTTTGGCTGCTCAGAACAGGGTGCTGCTCTTCTGCATTATTATTTTAACATATGTGCTTTTAAAACTATTTTTACATTCAGTATGGTTACTATGAGAGACTATGTTTTAATACTTGTGGCATGTTATTTTTAGTTTTTGTTTAGACAAGTCTCTGCAGACCTCAGGCCCATTTTGAATACCTGAAGCCTGATTGAGCTTGATGCTAGTATGTGGCTGTGATCAAGCAGGTGATAAAGATGTGCTTCCATGGATTGGCAGGGCAGATCATACCTACTGACAAGGCAGATTGAGCCTCGGGCTCTGCTAGTTGCTGAATCTGTTTTTCAGCCTTTCAGAAAATTTTTCATGCGCCCACCAATTCCTTATTTAAATGTGGTTGAAAATGATGATCACAGAAATATCGAAGATGTGTACTGAAATCTCTAAGACACACTTCTAAGGTGAGGTGACAGAGCCATTACGTCAGGTAAAAAGTATTTCTGTTGGCGTCAGAACGTTGTGTTTTTCTTGCCCTCTCTGCCAATTCAGGGAAAAGATATGAATATTATGTTTTTTGTGCTGATGTACCTAGGCATAATAGTGTAATTGAAATGGCATGTTTACCATTCTGTTTCATGCTTGATTGTGCTTTTTCAACACCTTTGCGCACAGTGTTAGAAGCGAGATTATAATTAAAATGTTCTGTTGAACACCTTGTTCGGTTCAACGAAACTCACAATAGAAATATAAGTACTTGTTCTTGGTGACTTTACAGTGACTGCACAATAAAGCCTGGGAAATCTCCCAAGCACATTGTTTATTTTGCCAGATCAGCCCAGAGAAGGGGAACGGAATATGTTCGCCACATAAAGACGATAACACAGCAACAGGCTTTCCTCAGCACACGGTGCTGCCTTGAAACCAGTGCCACCTTAAACAATGAATGTGAATGTGGTTTGAAATGTTTTTATTGGACCATCACCCCATTAAAGAGATTTTAATCAATTCATCTTTTGCATTTTGACTGCCTTGATTAACCAAGCCAGTGCAGCGAAAACTGTTACAGCATAGCAGGTAAAGTATTAGATGAGGACAGGGGACAAGCCTTAAAGCTGAAGGGGGTGATATTTTGCCAGTTGCTCTCTCCCATTCAACCTACTCCACAGGGTTTTTGTGAGGATAACATGGAGAGAAATGGTGTATCAGTCCTTGAACATCTGACATACCTCAACACAACTCTCAAAGGGTTACTATAATTCAGAAGCAGCTTGGTGGTTTGTTATAACTATAGATAGATCTTAGTTTTGAACAATGGAGGGGATTTTTTGTTTGGGTTTTTTTTGGGGGGGGCTACATAACATTACCACATCATCGTGCACACATCACTGCAATACTGTAAATGATGTTTAAACATTCTTGTTTTCATCACTGAGCACTAACAGCATTTGGAGGAGAGAGATAATGATACCATTGAAGTCTACTCTGGACTATCAGAATTTCTCAAGGACAATGAAAAATTAACTTTGAAGCCATTTTTATGCATCAGGAAAGACGGGAATAAATGATGCTGTGGAGGAATGCAGAGCCCCATGCTTTGCTTTAATGTTCACCCTTGGAGACAGATTTGTAAACTGTGGGCCGTAATGTAGAAAAAATTAAGAATCTTTTATGTCTGAATACTTTATATTGGGAGATTTAATAACTGGCAACATTACATTTGAATTTCACAGGAATTAAAAGTACTTGATAGTTGCCTGGATTGATAGTTTCCTTTCCCAAACACACATTTACTAAAGTTGTCCATGAGATGGTGAATAAGCATTGTAATGTAGTAGTGATGTATCATTTTAGCAAAGTTTCCTGCTTATAGTTCAATGAACCACTGATTCAACCCTTGCTTTGAAACTTTTCTTCAGTTCATAGCAGGGCAAAAATCTGCAGCCCCAATTACTGTTCTCATATTGGTCAAAGCAAATCCCCCTGAGCTGAGGGGCTTAAAATAGAAATATAACTGGAAACCAAACCCTGATGCAAAAGCTATATTATACTGAAGGCATTACAAAGGTGGTTACAATTTTGGATCTGGCTGGGGGTTCCCAGCTAGCCCTTTATCTAATACTGTATCTTTTTTTTTTCCTATAGAGAGATTGCTTTGGGGAGAGGTAGTCTTTCAAATGTACACACTTCTTTTATGAAATCTAAGATACCACAGCCCCTGCAATGGCTGTAGAATAGGCTTCTCAGGACTCAGGGCAACAGCCAAAGTCTTCAGCTATGCTTCCCTGGTTCTTGGGATGGTGAAATAAATCACAGGATAAGTGGGCCTAAAGAAGGAGGAAGTTTAATTTCTCTGTGTATCAGTTGGCTTTAAAGGCGGCCCTTTACACGCATTCCCAGCTGGCCCCAGGACTCCCAGGCTCAGTCTGAAGGTCTCTGAATATATGTGGCCAAAATCCTATTCCATAGTTACCCCACTAGAAAAAGGTAATGAGTGACATAACTCACAGCCACTAATTGCAGCTAATAAACGATCTCCTGCTTGGATTCTTGGTTGTATACTAAACCACCTGACTGAGGCACAATGAGGAAGCCAGCAGGGACTCAATAATTAGCAGCAGATAGTCAGTGGGAGTTATGCCATTTCCCTTCTGCTGTTGTGATGACAGTTCAAGATTTTGGCCAATACGTTGTTCAGGGAGCAGGGTAGGAAATCTGCATTGTCTGCCTCCTTCTCTCACATACAGACTCACATGCATATTATTTTGCAACTGCTACACAAGGACTGAGACTGTGGATTCAAGTTTTGGCCCTGAAAGCTCAAGGAATGGTAATGGGAAGATGTCAGCTTGGTGACCTATTGCAGAACATCAATTAAACAAGCTTGAGTTGACCTTAATGGGAAAATTTGGTAACACTCCCTATCTCTGTATCCTATCTTTTACGTGACTTCTAGTTTGAGGCAACACATGATGTGATGTCATCATGCATATGCACTCCATTGGCTAGTAAGAGTTGGACAAAACTATCTACTAATGCTGTTGGTAGCTTGGTGTAGGGCTACTTGTAATGTGTTACTAAATAGAGAACTGAACCTAGAGAGTATCAGTAGGCTTTATGCAAGAAGCATTGGGAGAATCTGAGTGCCATAAAATATCAGATTATGATGTAGCAATGGAAAATTAAGAGTGCAAGTGGGAGTAAAATTATATTACTAAGAAAGCCAGATGTGCAGAATTTCACAAAAATACAGAAAGTCACTTTGAATATTTCATTACATTGCAGTTCTGTTCTGTATTTTGAATAAATAAAAAATAATCTGAAGTGTTAATTAAACATAAGAACACAATAAGAGCCATTCTGTAATAGACTGAAGGTCCATCTGGCCCATTATTCTGCTCCCACAGTGGCCAACTAAATGCCTATGTGAAGTCCATATCATAACATATATGCAATAGTATTCTTCTGATCATTTTCTTCATCCTTGGTATTGAAGAAAATGCTGCCAGTTTGCTGATTCTGGATGTAGCTTGTAGCCTTTAGGCACCTTGGCTAGTAGCCATTGAAAAGTTTATCCTTCCTGAATTTGGTTAGTCCTCTTTTCATGCTGGTGACCGTCACTACATCTTATGACATTAAGTAAACCAGAAGCTGTAGAATTCAGAAAGCCATAGCTAACTCATGAGTTAGTTACAATGGCTACTTTCTCTACAATTTGTTTTCTATGAACCTGAACCTGACTAATCCATTCTGTTTAGAATTGTCTGCATACAATCCAAGGAACAAATTTGATTGAGATTAGAACAATCCAGATCATCCAGTTTAGCTTCATCAACCAAATTCTGATGTCAAGTACTGAATTAGAATGTAATTTTGTACATATAATGCCATCCCAATCCAGAAACTAGTTAAACTGAAGTACTGAGCTGACTGTAGAAGGGATGATAACCCAATGCAACTGGAATATGTTTAACTAGCTCTAGGTAGTGTAATGTAACAATACCAGCTAAAATGTGATCCTTCATCATGGAGCAGTGGTAAAACTATTAATGTGGGAACATTAATAGGGAAAGTATGCCCATTAAATAGTAAATGTAATTTCTTCTAAAGTATGATTATTACCTCCTGACAAGTGTTTCAAGAAATATTCTCCTGAAGAGAACCTTGGTTTCCTGCAGCAAATCATAACCCAGCACAAGCACAGCTGATGGGGACACACTGGAGAGGGCCTTCTCTGTGGCAGCTCCCAGGCTATGGAACATTCTCCCTGGGGAGATCAGGCTGGCCCCTTCCCTTTCATCCTTCCAAAAACAAACAAACAAAAAAAACAAAAACAACTAAAGACCCATCTCTTCAGGCAGGCTTTTAACAATTACAACAGAATCCCTGAACCCCATTTTAGCAAATAATTCTAATCTTTCCCATGTTTTAATTTTTTAATATTTTAATTTAATTTTAAAATCATACGTATATTATTTAGTTTATCTTTTAATATTTAACTTATTGTGTTTTTAAATTGTGTGAATTTTAATGTTGTGAGCCTCTTTGGGTCCCTTGTTGGGAGAGATGCTGCATATAAATAAAACTAATAGTCATAATAATAAAGTTCTGGGCCCAAATAATTCAGGAAAACTAGGGGAAGTCCCCTTTCTTGGAAACAATTCATGGAAAACTATGAAGACTCACCAGTGAGGAAATCAGGGGCAGGCAGGCGTCAGCATCTGGCAGGCTGAGTAGGGTGACCACATTAGCAGCATCCCATTACCTGAAACTTCAGGGCCAAGGCCCAGCAGAGTCTCTGTCATAGGGAACGACCTTTGTGATGTCACAGAGGCAGGGGCAGGCATAGGTTGTGAAGAAAGCAGGTGAAAGACATATGCGAACAGCTGAGCCAATGAAGTGGGGATAGAGTGGAGATGGTTGTCCAGGCTTTAAAACATGTCACACACAAGAATAATGGTGACTACAACAACAACAACAAACAACAACAACAACAGAAACGACAACAACAGTATCTTCTCGAGTGCTGCTTGGCCTAGGACTTGTCTCTCCCTGTAGACACAGAGAAATTTACCCCCAATACTTCAGCTGTTTCCTTGAGACCTGCCAGCTCTAATACTGAGATATTTAACAGAGGAGTTTAAACAAAGGTCCTGTGCATTTCACATCACCCTGGGACCCTGCTCTCCCTCCATGTTTCTTCTGCATCCATTCAAAGTGCTGCATGGCAAAAATCATGGAGCAGGAAATGCAGCAGCCGCTCTTCCTACTACAGTATATTGCATTGCATCCCGTCGTTCTGTAATACGGTATTTTGAACTAGTGGATTGGGAGTGAGGAGAAGTAAGGTCTAGCAGCAGAGAACTCTTAAGGGGGAAAATAAGTAGATTAACTTCCCACAGGTTCATATCCTCTCGTTAAGGGAAGGAGATGTGAGAACTTCTTACTAAGTGGTGATGTACACCCTCACCCTGAAATAAGGGCTAATGCAACAGATATGTTACAAGTCACTTCAAAAATAATTCTTCAAAAGTAATGCATTAGATTCTTGCCACCCAGGACTGGCAAGAATGAAGAATGTAATGCATTACTTTTGAAGAATAATGTGCCAAGTTCAAGGTTTGCGATGTCACTGGAGCCAAACATATTGGATGTGCTTCTGCATCTTTGTGGTCTTTTTTTCCCCAGACCACAGAAAAGAGTGGTTTCCCATTGTGTTGTAATGCAGATCAACATGATATGTCTTTGGGTTACTCACTTTCTAAACACACAACACATAGAACAATACGTATCTATGCATAAAGCAGAGTTCCCATCAGTGAACATTTCTTTCATGATCAGATACTGAATCCCACTGAATCCCACTGAGATACAGAAGTTGTTCGCTTAGTGTCAGTGGTGGGGAAGATTTGACCTTAGAGATCTTTAGCCTTCAGCTCCCAGAAGTCCCAGCCAACATGGTGACAGTAGACTATAATGGGGCCCAACACATTCCCACGCATTGGCCTAGAAGAGTGATTCCCAAAATTGGGTAACCCAGGTGTTTTTGGACTAGCACAGCTAATGGTGAAGGCTTCTGGGAGTTACAGTCCAGGAACACTTGAGTTACTCAAGGTTGAGAACCATTGGTCTAGAAGGCAACATAAGATGGTAAATAGATCATAAGCATCTACTGAGCTTTTCATGGGTGTGTGTGTGCTCAGTACAACTTCCTCTCCTTCTTCTACTCCCATCAGTTCTGGAGACTTGCCCAACCAACACAAAGCCTGTGGGTGAGTGATGGAATTTTCCTTCTCACCTATTTCTGTGCCCCACTCCCATCAGTTCTGGAGGCTTGCCCAACCAACACAGCAGCTTTGGGGGGGGGGACGTCAAAGCCTGTGGGCGAGTGATGGAATTTTCCTTCTCACCTATTTTGTTGGCAAGCAGGCAGAATTTGATACAAACCATGGTACCCAAGACAAAGAGACTAGAAGAGGGTGGTAGTAATAACACATACACTTACTTTTCCTCCCCAATTCTACCAATTTTTCCAACTTTCCTTTTGTTCTCATTGAAGGTCTTTGCGACGGTTGGCTCATGATTCAGAAGGCAAGAAAGGAATCCTCCATGGATTCTATGCATTTACAGGAGTTCTGCGAGTCTAGAAGGAAATCCTACAACTTGTCTTTTATTTTCTTTTTCCGGCAACAAAAATTAATAGGCCTATACCGGAACACACACCTGGAGCAAAGCTATTAAATGAGGAGGTGCTGTAATTGCATAATTGCTGCTCAGAATATGATTTTTCCCCCCTTTAAAAATTATTCAATTAGCTACTAAAGTAGAGAGGGGAGGCTGAAGCAGAGGCAGGTGGTTTAGCAAAAAGGTACATGGGTGATAAAAGGGAGACACACTGGTGCTTTTGTCTGCCTGACATACAACATAATGAAGATGGCAGGAGGCTACCGTTTCCCACCTCACTTTGCACAAAGACCTTCCTTTTTTGTAATTCTCTATCTCCCTGTTTGCCTCCCTTCCCCCGCTCTCCTTGTGACAAAAACTCTTCCATGTTTTGCAGCATGCTCTTTTTTGGGAAGGGCTGCCAGCTGCCAACCTGGATCATACTCCAGTTAAGGCTTTCTCCCTGGCCACTTCCACGTTCTGGAACTCTTTGCCCAGAAAGGCTAGGTTTGCCCTATCCTTGCTCTCCTTCCATTGGCAGATAAAGGCCTTTTAATCCAGGCAGGCCTTTGACAGCCTCAAACCATAAGATTTTACCCAAGCACTGGCTTCTCTCTCTTTTTATGGCAAATTAGTATTAAGATTTTATTGATTTAATGATTAGGATGTTTTGGTAGGACTCTCATTGCACAGGGATTAAATTATAGTATTACAGTCAAAACTCTGCTCGCAGTCAACATCTGATTACAGTGGATTCTGGCAGCCAGCTCAAGGTTCACTCAGCCTTCCATCCTTCTGAGGTCAATAAAATAATTTCCCAGCTTACTGGGGGTGGATTGGCAATGTGTAGTCTATATCAGTGGTTCTTAACCTTTGTTACTTGGATGGTTTTGAACTGCAACTCCCAGAAACCCCGGCCAGGACAGCTGGTGGTGAAGGCTTCTGGGAGTTGCAGTCCAAAACTCCTGAGTAACCCAAGGTTAAGAACCAGTGGTCTATATAATTAAATTGCAAACCATCCAGAGAGTGCTTTAGCACTTTAGGGCAGTATATGAGCAGCACACATTGCTTTGCTTTGAAGTGATTTTAAAGTGTTTAATTTTAGTTGTATTTTCAGCACACAATGCATTTAATTGTATTTTAATGTTTGCCATGCAAGCCAGCAAACAAATAAAGAAATAAAGAAACAAGCAAGGACTTCCAGAATTAGCAGGTCCCAGTGGCCAGGAACCCATGCTAGAAGGAACCCCTTGTTGTTTCATTAGAGATTTGATTTTTACTCTAAAGAGTAAATTTTCCAAGCTCATCTGACCATCTGCTGAAGCCAACTAGATGGGCCAATAAGTTTTGCAAACCTTCTGCCTAAGGATAAAGTCCCACTTTGCCCAATATGGCATAGTATCCATTTAAGTTTTTCCTTACAGCTGAACTGGCTTTCATATCTCCAAATAAAATGGAAGATAATGCCATTAAAGCATACTTGTCAGCAACTACAATAGCCTAGCAAATTAAGTGTACAGGACCTAAACAGCATCCTGATCTGATGGTTTGGCACAAAAATTGTTCATGTAAGCTGCCGTAACCTTAAGGTAGATTTTTTCACTCTTAAGGCCACCCTAGCCAGCTGAACTGGCTTTCATATCTCCAAATAAAATGGAAGATAATGCCATTAAAGCATACTTGTCAGCAACTACAATAGCCTAGCAAATTAAGTGTACAGGACCTAAACAGCATCCTGATCTGATGGTTTGGCACAAAAATTGTTCATGTAAGCTGCCGTAACCTTAAGGTAGATTTTTTCACTCTTAAGGCCACCCTAGCCATCATAACAATTAGCATCTTGATCTGATGGTTTAGCACAAAAATTGTTCATGCAAGCTGCCGTATCTGCCATGATGGGATGTCTGCATTCTGTAATATTTACTCTAAACCAGGGCCAGAAATCAGGTAGTCTACGGGCCACAAGTAACCCTAAGGTAGATTTTTTTTCACTCTTAAGGCCACCCTAGCCATCATAACAATGTGCCATCAACTACGTTTTGACTTATGGTGACTCTTTTCAAGGTTTTCCAGGTAGAGAATTGTCAGAAGTGGTTTACCATTCCCTTGATATGTTTTGACTTATGGTGACCCTTTTCAGGGTTTTCCAGGTAGAGAATTGTCAGAAGTGGTTTACCATTCCCTTCGTTTGGGGGTGTTCTGGGACTGTGCAGCTTGCCCAGGACCACACAGGCTGGCTCTTCTCCCTGAAGTCACTGCGGGGCATCAAACTCCCAACTTCTGGCTCCACAGGTAGATACGTAAACCACTGAGCTAACCAGCCCGTTACTCTAAAGATACGACTCTCATAGTTAGGAGCAGATCAATTTCAGCAACAATTTGGGAGTGTCAAAGAATAAACCCCAATGAAAGAAAATATTTTGCTTGCTGTGAATTCATTGTAGTGTTTAGAAGACCTTTTTAAGGCAAGCAAATGCTTGCTTTACAATAGCCTGTAGTAGTTTGCTGCTGACATTAGTTTGCCCACTTGATAGACTTGCAGTGGACATGTCTTCTCAATGGACAACATTCTGGCCACAGGGGGTACTAGGCTTTAGAACCTATGTATTTATTTGATTTAAAACGATGAGATCAGAGCTGGGCATTACCTTTGTTGAATTGTTACAGATCTAACAGACATTTCTGGACTTGGGAAAAGACACTCCCTGAGTTCAAGACTTTGTTGCAATACAGCCTGCATACCAGGTGAACATATACAGGACCTTGTGAACTCTCAATTCTCAGCAGACCTAGGATCTGAGAATGATGCTGGCACTTTACCTCCCATATTCAAGACGAGACAGAGAAAACCAGCGATTAAACATGAGACCTCATACTCTGCGCCAGCGTGCATTGCCCTTTCGACCAATCTATCCAGTGGCTGTGCCTTAGGGTTGCAAGGAACTTACCTTTTCATGCAAAGGGCACCGCTTAGAATAAGGACCCAGACTGCCGTCCACTTCCCGTTGGCATCTGCGTCTCAAACGATGCAAAACGTTCTGTCGGACAAAGAGCAAAAATGTAGACATCGGTATTAAACGTTTGTTTTAGACAAAAGTCAGCAGATGGCGCCATTTATCATTTATTGACACCAGTCCCACTTTGTCCAAGAAGCTCCTTTCCTCTTTTAATTTAGACAGTATTATAACCAAAGTGTTTTTCAACTTATTATTATGCATGAGCAAAAAAAAAAAAGATCCTATGAATGTGTAAAATTTCTCCCGCATTCCCTTTTTTATAACATCATTTACATTCCATATTAATAATTAAAAATCTTCAGGATTTTAATCACTTTTCCCATCACTAAAATATCTAATGGAGAGATCTCCCCCACCCCAGTCCCCCTTGAAGGTGAAATAGAGGGAAATGAGCAAGGTGGGGTGGGGTGGGGGAGAGGCTTGAAAAGTCACTTTTCAGAAGTGGGTGTGATTGAGTCCATGCCTGGCCACCTCATGGTTTCCCAGTTTTTTTATATTTACCGAACATAGGAAGCAAAGCCTTACAAAATCCTCAGTTTCCAAGAGGCCAAAGAGAAAAAGCACATTTTTGTATGCGGGTCTACGTGTGAGTTTAATTATAGTGGTGTTTGCCTGATGGCTTGTTACTGTAAATAAAAGAGATAAAAGGGGCCCTTCACTTGAGTAGCTCCAAAGCTGTGAAATATGTACCCAATTAAAACTATTGGTGTAAGAGGCTAATAAAGTACATGTGCCTACTAGATGTCTTATTCTAATGAATCTCGGCTAATTTGCTTTGACTGATGAATTTCGGTGTTAGTAGTAGGGGCTGAATAATTATGAAATTTATCACAAGACACAAGGACTCATTAAGTATTACACAGGTTCGGCTGAGGAATGTTTTCTTTGTCGTGAGGACAGGAGTTGACCAATACAATTAGAAGGAAGTATGGAGGTTCCCTTGCCGATGTGGCCGTTTCTCAGGCCAGAAGGCGGGAGAAATGGGAAGGAACACAGAGCAGCATAATAGGAGATGCCTAAATCCGCCAGGGTAAGTATTTATTTTAAAGAAATAATTTTACTGCAAGAAATTCCTCTTCAAAGTGTCCTCCAGAATACTTTTTATCCTCGGATGAAAGAGGAACTAGGAGAACGAGACGTATTGATGCAACTTCTGATTTTAGAAGTTCAGCCTGAGAGCTTGAAAGAACCAATTGCTCAGGGTCCACCAACCTTCATTCCAGCAGTGTATTTTTCTTTAACACTTCCGTTAAGTACTTTAAACAAATCAGTGTTAAGAACATAAGAATGCAAGTTATTTCTCCTTCTGCTCTCCCATCTGAACAGCTTTTTAAAATTAGCTTGGCATGCACTCACTCTGCCAGATTCCAGCATCTCTTGGTGTCGTTGGTCTCCTTCTCAATGACCGGCCAGCCCATCTTTCCAGTTTGCCACATTCTCATTATACACAGAGAACTTTCCCGGCCACAGTTTGACTGGGTTTCAGTCAGTCGGCTGTGTGCCAAGTCACTTGCTCTTCCCTCTTCTCTATCCATCCTGCTGTGTTGCCATTATGTACTGCCAAGTTGGAAGTGGCTTACAGCAACACTAATCGTGCTTTCAAGGTAAATGGCATATTTGATGTGTGGGCTTGGCAGTTCCAATCCCCAGCAAGTTTACATGGCCCAGATTTGAATCCATGTCTTCAGAATCCTAATCTGTTATTTTACGCACTGCACTGGGAACCACCCTCTTCAACCTACAACTCCATAGTCTGAAAAGCAGATGCTAAGCTGTTCAGGGTCATGGGGCGGGGAACGGGGGAATCTCATTCTTTTGAAAAACACTTCCCAGAATCCCACAGCCAGCATGCACCCACAGAGGATTCTAGGAATTGTAGGGGTGGTGTTTTTTTGTTGTTGTTGGTCTTGTTTTAAGAATTAATTTTGCCAAGCTCTGCTGTTCATTGGAGAGGGGTCAACATTTGTCTCAGGTTATTTTTCCCAAGAGTTTACCATAATCTGCATGATTCTTCTCAGTCCAGATGGTAAAAACTTGAGATATAAGCAATCTGAATACTGGAGAAACCCCAGATTTCAGATTTGTCCATCAGCCTTAGGGTTCCACTCTTAAAAGTGTGGGCCTGAGTCTTTCAGCATGTTACTGCTGACTTAGGGTTGCTACCTTTCTTTCTTTTTCTTTCTGAAAGGCAGATAAATCACCTTCCTCTCTGTACTGGAAACAAATGAGAGTACAGTACTTCTTCAGTTTTGCCAGCATACATGAATGAACAGTTTGGTTTCAGTTTCTTTTTTGGCAGATACATCACCTTCCTCTCTGTACTGGAAACAAGTGACAGTACAGTACTGTACAGTATTTATTCAGTTTTGCCAGCATACATTGATGAACAGTTTGGTTTCAGTTTCTTTTTTGAGACACTCAGTCTTAGCGGCATATAAGGTATCCTGTTATCTTTGGAATAACTCTCTCTCTTCTGCTGCCATAATGTGTATTTTGTATTAGTTATCTTTCCATATAGTTAGTATAGATTTGGGTTGTTTTTTTTTTTTAGTCTCATGTTTTCATGTGATTATTATGGAAGTTTTATTTTATGGCTATGTTGAGAGATTGTAAACGGCCCAGAGTAGTGATCTGACCACTAAAGGGGGTGGGGTATAAAGATGTGAATAAATAAATAAAATTAGCACATTATGGGATAGAAAGAATTTGAGAGTGAGGGGAAAACCTAAACATGAAAAATAAGAAATACCTAGTGCTCATGCAACCTACCAGTGGTAGGCCAAACATGAAAACATGGAAAGGATCCTCACAGACTGAAATAGCCAGGATAAAGATGGGCAGAGGCCGGAGGGTCACTGGGTGGTGAACCTGTGATGGACATCAGACACCACCATACAGATGTTTTCCCCACCCATCCATTCATTGCAGCCACATAGACAAGTCCTGATGAGCTTACTCCAATATAATCTGAGGCCATTAGGAAACAATGCAAAATCTATTATGTTTTTAAAGTCTCATAAATTCAAATCCACTTTTGTTATTTTGAGGCAAAGGATAGACCGGGGTGGGGGGGGGGATGACTCATGGTTTTTGAGCACGGGAGGTTGGCAATACTAGGACATTCAGTTACCCCAGCTGTCAGGCAGCCTGAACGAGCGAGGGAGGATTTGTCACCATTTCTGACGTTAATTGTCACATTTATCAATTATGTGGAGAACAGATACAGTTCATCTCTTCCTCTTTGCCTATATCTTTTCATTGGCCTGTGTGGCTTAATGAACAATGTGGCCTGATTTAGTAAGCCATCCTAAAGGCCTTTACTGAGCAAATGTGTAGGGCTGCACAGTAGGAGGATGTTTATTGGAATCGGGGCAACTGGACACTCTTCATCAAGCTGGCTATCTGTTGGATTTTGCCTGGACTTGTGGGTTTCAGTGAGAGTACAAACCAACCATTATGGGTTAGCTTCTGTGAAGGATGTTTCAAGCACCTGGTCCAGAAAACAATCTATGGAACTCAGAGGTGACTTCTTAAGGCTCCTTTTGCCTGGTTAAGACTGGTGGCTTTTTCAATCCTAGTAGCATACCAGTGGACCCTTGACTTACAGACGGCTTGACTTACAGACTTTTTGAGTTACAGACTTCTCTGGCCGCAAAATTTAGGTTTGACTTGCAGCCTGAGAATTGACTTACAGACCAGAAAAAAACCAAAATGGAACAAAAACGGCCTGTTACGGGATTAATCGGTTTTCAATGCACTGTAGGTCAATGGAGACTTGACTTACAGACTTTTTTGACTTGAGAACCGCCTTCCAATACGGATTAAGTTCTCAAGTCAAGACCCCACTGTATCGGGAATGGTCAAAAAACCAGAGGCTGGAAAAGTTACTTTTATTGGACGGTATCTCCCAGGAACTGGAAGTCATTGGCCAAGGTCTGGGACTCATCCAGAAAATAAGAATGTTTAGTTTAGAACAGTGGTTCTTAACCTTTGTTACTCGGATGTTTTTGAACTGCAACTCCCAGAAACCCCAGCCAGCACAGTTGGTGGTGAAGGCTTTTGGGAGTTGCAGTCCAAAACTCCTGAGTAACCCACGGTTAAGAACCAGTGGTTTAGAAGATCAGGTAGAAGGTGATATGAAAGACAACTGGCTGAGCCCTTCAAAACCATTTCTAGTAAGAAAACATAGTTTCAGGTTGGGTGGAGATATCATCTGATTTGATATAAAGGAGCCCTCTATGTTCCTGAGAGCTGACTCAGTGGAATTCTAGTAGGTGCAATCCAAAAAAAGTTACTTTTGAACACCCAACCTCAGAATATGTTAAAAGGAACTCACTGCATTACTTATTGCTTCTTGGCAGACATGTTATTTTTATTGTGCCTCCTTGACAGGAGCTGGACTCAGTGACCCATATGGTCCCTTCCAGCTCTGCAGTTCTAAGATGGTGGTGATTATGACTGTTGATACCACATTTTAAAAGAATATTGTTAACAGTTATAGCCCAGCAAAGAGGTAATTTGAATAATTTTGTTTCATTAGATCATTGTTTGGAAATTTAAATTGCGTTGCATGGCCCAATCTAGATCTGCATTTACTTTAGAGTAAAAATGGGGAAAAATATTCATTTGCACTCTTTTTTAAAAAAGGAAAATGTGGTTTGGCCTTAAAAAGCAGCCTTCACTTCATCCAGCCTTGATGATTGGTCTCTGGATCTTGAGCTGCTTTGAATCTGTGATGGTTAAGTCATAAGCTGTTAAGTCAGTTTGAAACAAATTTTAACTTTTAATGTCTGATTTCAGGCCACTGTACCTCCTCTCACCACTTCATCTTTTATGTACTGTCAGCTGCCTGTGCTATTCAGTGTTCTTTTAAATATTTAGTAATTAGGTAGATGGCCAATCTGAAAAATAAACAGAACCAAAAAAATAGAACAGCCTCCTTCCAAAACCCAAGGCTCTTCCTGATGGTCTTCCAGATAGTCTTTCCCTTTAAAAAGAAAATCAATGGTCTTTTAA